ACCGCAGCCTCCAAACAAGGAGCAAAACCCGATCGCTCACCATGGCACCCCTGGGCCTTCCCGGCGGTGCCAGCTCTGTGTTTAGGCCACCAGATGGTGCAGCCGAGACCTGGTCCTCGGCCCGCGCCGCGGGGACCCGCTGCCAGAGAAGGCGACCGCGCAGCGGGAGAGGAAATTCCCTGGCTCCCTGCAGCAGCTTCGCAGTCCGAGCGGCGGGATCCAAGTTACAAGTGTTTCCACAAAGGAGCAGCGGGACCAGAGCAGCACAAGGTCTGCGGAGCTGCTCAGTCGCCGGCTTTACAGCCGAGATGTGGGAAGAGAATTCCCGACTCGGAGGCTGAAAGCGCCAGGAGCGGCGGCAGCGCGGGCAGGAGGCGGCTCCGTCCCGCAGCCGGGGCCGGCAGCGCACACGGTGCCAGCTGGGAGGCCTCGAGGAAACGCAAATGTTTTTGGGCCACTGCCTTTCATGCCTTCCCTGCGCCGAGCAAAGGCCTCCTGAACAACCCTCCGTTGCCTTCAGCGGACTATCCTATGAGAGGAGGAATTGTGCAGTGAAGGAGAGGGGGAAAAGCAGGGTTCTGATGGCAGTAGTGAGAATGCCACAGACAGGAGCCCAATCCCTTCCTGCAGCTCTGTGGCTTATCAATGTAATGACACGCACGAAGGAAGAGGAGACCCAGACCTACCTCCCACGTCCAAGTCCACCTTGTAGTTGATGGAGTGGGTGTGTATGGTGCCCAGTGTGTGCTCCCACACCCTGTTGCCCTATCTCAGACTGTCCCCATGAAGGAACGACGAGCTCATGTACCCCGTGGCCTGGACTTTGCCTTCGATGGCCCCATTCTGGTAGAAGATGAAGTCCCACACGTAGTCGTAGTTGGCCACGGTCGCAATGGACCGAACGACCAGATCAGAGTTGACCAGTCCCCCATAGTGGAGGGACTGCAAGTTGGAGTAGTAGCACCTCAGAGCGGAGCCCAGGTTCTGCTCAAAGATGCAGATTGCTCCTTTTATTTGCAGGGACTCGCATCGTCAATGTACCCCGTGGCCTGGACTTTGCCTTCGATGGCCCCATTCTGGTAGAAGATGAAGTCCCACACGTAGTCGTAGTTGCCCAAGGCTGTAATGGACCGAACGACCAGAGCAGAGTTGACCAGTCCCCCATAGTAGAGGGACTGCAAGTTGGAGTAGTGGCGCCTCAGAGGGGAGCCCAGGTTCTGCTCAAAGACGCAGAGGGCATTTTGAACAATTCTGGAGGCCTGGGATTGAGCAAGGTGGGGCATATCCACGTAAGTTGCTGAATACGGACAGTCGACCCCTCGCACTAAGGGAGAACTGAAGCGCCCGATGCCGAAGCTCCCATCCATGTACCGCGTTGACATCCCGCCGGGGCAGTTGGAGCCGTACACCGACAGGGCCTCCTGAACGCTGATCTCGTAGGCGATCCGCTCGCCCCGATACCTGACGTCAAACAGGCGCAGGCCCCTGCTCACGCTCATGCCAAAGACGAAGCTCCAGGCCTGGGAGACGACGCGGTTCCTCCTGACGCTGTAGCGGGGACCCTGCGGCTCGTACTGCACCGGGAACATCGCGGCGGGCGCTGCTCGTGGCTTCATGGATGAGAAGTCCCCGTCCCACGGGACCTTCTGCACCTTCTCCACGCGGAGGCGGCCCTGCACGTAGGTGCTCTCCAGCTCGGCCATGTCCCTGTGGTACTGCCCATTGTAGAAGACCCTGCTCACAGCCCACTGCGACACGTCCAGGCTGCTGTGGTCCACCAGCACCTCCAGCCCCACGGGGTGCAGGAAGAACCCGCTCACATTCTGAAACAGAGCAAGCCAGGTGCTCCGATCTCCAGACTGGAGGCCGCGGGGGGCTGCGGTTTGAAACGCGAGGTTGGTGCCGTCGTACTCGAGCACCTCTTTGAGGAAGGTGGGAGCTGCCGCGAACGCCACCGTCTTCAGGAAGATTCCCACCTGCTCGTACTCGCTGCCCAGCATGGGCCGGCGGG